TGTGGGCAGGGATTGAACTTGTGAATGAGTCGTAAAACTCCAGGCCAGTGCATAAGCCACTGGGCCAGCTGGTTACAATATGATTCATCCAACTAGGTATATTTATACACCATAGACTGTGACCACAAATGCAAATTTTTAAAGAACTTTATATTCTGTCAACATTAAGAAAAGCTATTGCAGACATTAAGTCTCCTAAAAATCATTGATAGAGCCCCACATTTTAGATGGAAAAGGACATTCACATTATTATTATAATCAAGGGGGAAGCGCTAAACCCGGAGGATTATACAGCGCCTGGGGGGGGGGATGTGGACATTCACAAACAACGATAGATCAGTAACAGACCTGAAACATAATCAAAATCTTTAAAAGAATACTATGTAATAAGACTGATAAATATTTGGATGTGCATAGGTTTAGGGCAGAGATGAGCACTCCTACCCCTCACAAAACTCATCCCTTAAAAGAGTAGAAGAAATGGTCATTTGTCCAAATTAATGCTGTTGAAGGACTTGATTCAAGGAATTGGAGCTATCCTGCCCTTTCTTTGGATCAGTCTAAATTACCTTGCACCTTCTGTTTCTCAGGTGCTGTATGGTCTTAACGGTTGTAGTGCTTCCTTCCTCTTGAGTTGAATTAGTATACTGATAACTTGATAATCATAATGGGTCGGATTCTCACTTTTATTGTAGAGTGGAAAATCTTAAAAGCCTTTAACCCTTTATGCTTACCGAGTTATCACTTGATAAGCAAACAGGCCCCTGATCTGACAAGGTAACTTGAAATGTTCCTTCAAGGTTTGCCTTATCTAATGACCCAAATGGATTTATCCCTAAAATTGATTATATTATTATTATGCCTGTGTGGGCTGTAGTGTCTATGGCAAAATGTGACCAGTAGTGTGAACACCAGAAATTGATCATTGGATATCTAAGAAAGAGGCAACTTGCCAGCTTGGTTCCCTGCCTTAATCCTGGAAGTAGTACATTAATTCCTTTATAATATTCAGCACAAATGTATTCTGGAGTTGACTGACACAATCTATCAAGGGACAAAAACTGACCATCGAACTGGAGAACCACTTATCACAAAAATTTGCCCATGATGGTAGTAGCAATTAGTGGTTAGTCTAGCCCCTTGCCAGCATCCAGTGGTAGGGTGATGCACCCAATATATCATTCCTACCCATAGGCACATACTGATATTACCTGCTGGATCATAGAAGCAGCATAAGCCCCATTCTTTCTTTCACCCACCATGACAATGCAGTGTTTTGAGCATCACGTGCTTTGCAGTACCATGAATAGCGTAATCAGTGCTCCTGATAGTGCAGGGGTGGGCAGATTTTTCAGTGTAGGGGCCACAAAATTTCCGAATTAACCATTTGGGGGTAACGTGTTAATGTTCCACAATATTATTTGGCATTGCATGGTAACTTTTTTTTTCTTTTCAAATTTACTAACATTTTGTCCCCAAATAACGTGAGTATGACTTGATCTTGTTGGGCCGCATGAAAACCTTTGGCGGGCCGTAGTTTGCCCACCGCTGTGATAGCGTATCAGTGTTCCTGATAGGATCAAGACTTTTTATGTGGATGATCTTGGAGTGTATTGCTCAGTGTTTACTCCCAAAGAAGCCTATCGTGGGCTTCAGGTGGCAATCTGTTGATTCTAACTACTGCCATTTTTCACATAAATGATGGTGGCTATTCACTTTACCCAGTCTTGGATAAGACATCCTGCTCCCTACATGCTACTTGGTGTGATCCTCTCCTATGAGGATCAGGCGACATTTGCAACCCTGACAAGAGCCTTTCATGTAAATTAGCTCAAAGTGGATGCTCTACAGATGATAGCTTGGCAGACCATACTTTGCGTGTATGCAGTCTTATGTTCCAAGCTATAACATGGCTGCTAGATCTTTTTTGGCCTGCACTTCCTTTCTATGCCTTCAGCATCTTGTCCTCTTAGGGGATGTGGTTTTGCTCTGCTACATTCCGTACTTTCCCTATTGAGGGCCTGTCAAGTTTGGTGAGCTTTGCCTAAATCCCTAACATGAAAAGTTGGGCCTACACTGTGTCTTGGGTTTAGCATACACCTGGCAACCCAGGTAACAGTATGGTCTTATGGCATTGGACCATACTATTAACCATGACCACAAACTGATTAACATACATTCTTCAAGGTTTCGTGTGGTAAATTCCCTCATGACTCCTGGATGGCATCCTAAAGCCATGGGAATCGGCTGAAAGCCTTCCTCTAGTAGGTCTGTCTCAGCCCATAGGTTCTCAATTGGGTTAAAGTTAGGGGAGTTTCCACTGTTTTGCATAAAAACCTTGCACCACACCACATGAAAGATTCAGGCAAATAATATTGACTATTGGATTAATGATAAGCATTGTAGGCAAATCAAGAGGGGTGTATAAATCAGGTAGACAGGTGATAGAAAAAGTCCCAGGAAGGATTGCAGGAACCCAGTGAAGGTTTTAAACAGTAGGGACTTGAGCATCCAAGAGGCATGCAAGAGTGATGGAGCAGAGTGGAGACGTGGTTTTTAGGAATTGTTATGATGAAAATAACCCTCAACTGTCAGTGACAGGCTCTTGATTCAGGAAACTGTATCTGCATTTCCCTTGCTTAGATTGAACCTGTATGACACAGGTTTAGTGCTTCTTAAAATAAATACTAATTATACTACCAAAATATCCTAAATACATTCACTTACCCCATGTCCTTTTTCAGTGTCCAGCATTTTATTCATGCCATGACTTCTCATCCTCTTCTGGGGCTTACATTCTACTACTTCTTACAACCTTCCAAATTGTTCAAACGTTTGCAGCCTCTTTTTCTCAGAAGCTCCAAATAAACTGTGCATCAGCAAAGCTACATGGCAACTCCCACTTTTATCAGTTTCTTTATTTTGTTAGCAATACATAAATAACCCACACATAGAGAGGTGCCTATGATGATGTTTCAGTCCAACTTGGACCATTTACAAAGTCACACTAACAGAAAAGAGAGGAGCCAGTATATATATAGGCCAGCTGGCAGGGACAGGACAAGATATGTGGTAGTAGTAGTGGTAGGGGGGGGGGACAGAGTGAAGGACAAAACACTCCAGGCAAAAGAAACCCAAAACAAGAAAAAGGACAAATAGGAAAGAAGAGGTAGAAAGAGGAGAAAAGAGGATCAGGTTGTCACCTGTGTTCTGAGGTTTGGAGCATTTGACACTGTAATGGATAAGGAATGCATCTACAGAGAAAAAGCCAGCACTAAGAGTCATACAAGGAAAGCTGTGTAGTATAAGGGAGGATTCAATAGGCAGCAACTGTGATAGAAGTAGGGTAGATAGTTTTAGCAGAAGACCAATCAGTAGGATGACTATCTCTTAACATGACAGAAAAGAGCATTATTGGTCTCGGCCAGCCTAACACTGCTCCTTGAGTCTGTCAGAGAACAGTCCAAGTCAGACCGAAATGTCATAAGTTCCTCTCTCTCTCTCTCATGTGCGAGGTATTTGTGTATTGTTCCAGTTACGGTATTGCACCTTTTTGTTCTTTATCTTGTTAGCAATTCCCCACACAAGCATTCACTTTTTTACAATCCACTTATAAGCATGTTGCTAGAAAATAATTTCCTATTACATTATTTTCATTTCAGTGGGAATGTTTTGATGGTAAAGAGGTCTTGCTCCAAAGAAAGCTACCCTTCCCTTAGAACAAACTTTATTACTTTACCTCTTATTCTCAAGGCAGTGTGTGATCTTTATGAATACACCTCTCCCACTAAGGTAGAGTGACCCAGCAAAGGAAAAACTGTCACTGATTTAATTAGGGTTGCAATGGCACTTACATCAGTTCAGATGACCCTCCAACCTGCAACATTCCCATCCCTTCCTCAGAGTGCAGGCACTGTACTTATCACCTCCAGGAATTTAGTGCAGCTAACAGGTTTCCCTGAATCCCTTCATAAGTGTTACCTTGTTCATTCTCCAGCAGCATATCAGATTATAAAAACCACTTGCCTCCCTCTCCTAACATGCTCACACAAGATTGTTGAATGTCCAAGTCCCTAGCACTTGAAGCCTTCTTTATTCTCCTACCCCCTCCCCCTTCAACCATTCTTAGGACAACCTATACCCTTCTCTCTCAGATTTATACACCCTCCTAGTCATTCTATTTTTCTCCACCCTCTCTAAATGTCCAAACCACTTCTCAGCTGTGTAAATAATATTTCTGGCAACTCAACACCACATGATTTCCAAACTCCAGATTCTCTGCATAATATTTACACCACACAATGCTCTCAAACACAAGTCTCTTCTGACTCCAGCCTCCACAGATGTCTTAATGCACTACCCACCATCAGTTCTATGATTCACTCATCTCGGAACCATCTGCCAACAAGTCCATTCCCAAATATCTGACATTTACTTCCTCCAGTCCCCTCAAGGAAGGTTCCTTGATGTTGGTGAGGGGCTCTTGATTTAGGAAATTGGATCTGGGCTCCAGTTCCCCGAATTAAGCCTGAATGCCTACCACATCCCCCCAGGCGCTGTATAATCCTCCGGGTTTAGCGCTTCCCCCTTGATTATAATAATAATACTTCCTCCAGTCTCTCCACCTTGCTCTTTCCTATGTTTACTTTTGTAAAGGTATGTACCTTTACAACTTTTCCGAATCTTCCAAAAGAACCAGGTCATTGACATAAAGCAGCTGGCAACTCCCCATCTATAAATATGTTAAGCAACTGTTAACATATCATGTATCTCTCACACACACTTGCCAGTAAATATCTTTGGTGTTAACTAGTTGTATGCCTTGCACTAGGTTTCTGGATGTTAGGAATTGCTATACAAATATACCTTGGAATCTTAGGTACTGTACACTCACGCATTTTTTTCACATTTGTCAGCAGCCTTTGGCCCCAACACTTGTTTTATTATCTCTGGTGTTTTTTTTTTTGGTTACTCTGAATTCATAAAAATAAAACTCTCTATAAATTTATAATCAGTAATTTACTTTTTTCTATTACATGTTTAGTATAAATGTCACAATCCACATTTTGATGTGGACTTAGAAATATACAACCTTGATAAACCTTTGGCCTTCCAAGTATAGAGTGCTTCATAAGCACTGTTTCTTTGATACACAATGACGAGTATCAGGAAATGTGGAAAAGTTACACATGTCTTTTCTTGTGTACTAAATATGAACAAATATATTTTATAGCTATTTACAATAAATCTACAGTATGCTAATGTACATAAAATAGTGAGTCGGACGCACTGCACTGACGTTGAGCTTGAGAAATGACGACCAATAAATCTAATCTTTGGTGTTCTTAGTTGTTCCTAACAAAGAACTACTATGTAAATAAAGCATACCTGTACAAAGTGTCCACACTTAACATGCTGTATACAATGAAGTTATAAAGCATGTCTTGCAGTTCTATTTACAAATTAAAAAATGGACTATCTAAAAAGTAGATATCTAATCCAGTTACTGAAATGAAAATCTTCGGCATTTTTTTTTTTTTAAATATAACACTTTAAAAAGATAACTGTAATCCAATACGAGTCTAGATATATACTATGATATTGTATACAGTCAGATCTTTTAGTATACAATGTCTGCATTGACACATATACATATGTACAGTATGTGGGGGTATTGTGAAGACCATATAGAATTGCTTGAAGTCAAAGAGAATACTTTTGTGTACCAAAAAATTATTTTAATAGAAGTTATGGAATGTCAAAATATAATTGTTATAGAAACGGTACATATAGGGCCACATGAGGTAAATATTTGAAGTGGAAACTCGAGAGATTTACTGGAGACAAAGTAATAGGAATAAAAAAAAAAATTGTACTTAAATGCCCAATATGGAAACGCACAATAATGTGCTCGGTATAGTGGATACAAACGTGTGTTCACACCACTTTTTACAAACAGTATTTGCATGTGCATAAATGTTTAATATATTGTATCTACTTTATTATATACATTTTTCATTACTGCTTATTTACAGTAATCTAACAATTTCAAATAAAATTTATAGAGAATAAGAGGATTAGTTGGATAATCAACAGGAGGAGCTTTTGTAATCGGACGTGTCGGATGCATTGCATGAATCGATGTTATTGTCAGCAGGTAGTTCTTGCTTTATTTCTCCTGATCTGTTAAAAAAAATAGATTTACAGTACATTTCAACTGAAAAGTACTATAGATAATATTCTATAATTTATCATGATTACACTACACTGACATTTGAATGACTAAAAACCAACCTTGAACTCAGAGAAGCAATAGTGCGGATAAGTTGAGTATTTGCAGAATCCAGGGCTGCAATTTTCTTAGCTTGAGCATCAATACGAGCATCTTTATTATGCATCTCTCTTCGCATTATCTCTTGTTCATGGCGAAACTCTTGCTCCATGCTCATTAATCTGAGAAATATATTATACAAATGTAATTAATATTTAAGAATAATTTGTATCAAAGTAGGTTTTACTTAAGCTATATATTTTCTTTCTATTTTCCAGAAAGGAAGTCTTCACTTGAAGAAATCTTCTACAGGGAAGGGAGAGCTTCTAATTAATTTGCCTCCTCCCTGCATTAGGCCTACTGGACAATACAAGGCTTCAGTGTAAGTACCTTTTGTACAATTATAATAAAAACTAAGTGCTAAATCCCACAAGTCATACAGCACTGACCTTTAGTGCGAGGTGTTATCAAAAATTCCCTGCATACATACCTCTAGGAACTCTTCTAACAGCGTAGCCTGCTGTAATCTCCTCCATGTCATTAAGACAATGCCCCGTAAAAGCCATTTTTATTTTTGAAAGTATTCAGGCTATCTCAGAGATACAAAAATTATATTCAAAGTGCTAAACACATTAGGGACATCCAGCATTAAAGATATGAGCAACTGATTATTAAGTTAATAGTATGGCTTGAGATTCTTACCTAAGGCCTGACTCCCCCACAACTATTTCTTAGGTGCCTATTTACTGCTAGGTGAAAGGAGACAGTCAGGGTGTAACTTTGCTCTTTACGATTGTGAGCAGGATACAGTGGACCTTCAGTTAACGATGCCATTGGATAGCAATAAAATCGGATATAGATAAGTTTTTTGCTTCAAAATATTTGCTCGGCTAATGATGAAAAACTCTGTTAAGGACATTCATCCTGAACGTGTCCGCACGGCTTGAGCCCATGTACAGCCAGTGTGCCAGTGAGGACAATTCCACGTGTATATGCATGGAATTGTCCTCACTGTACATGTTTTTAGTGATTGTAACTGCTAAATAAGCCACCAAGAGCCCAAAGAAAATTCTAGCGCCAACCCTGTGGTAAAGAAACAATAGAATTCAAGAAAAAACTCGTAGCAAAGTGGAGGAGGAAGAGAGGGGAGAATGCGCCTTCTGCAGTGATTCAATGATACGTATGATGCTAAAGCAGCAGGTAAACGCTATAGTGGCAGCCAGCGATAAAGTGTAGAATTAACAGTGTAGCAAGTAAGCGATAGAAAAACAACACAAAAGTAACTCTCCAATGTTGTTGGATGTGTAAAGGGCCGCTGAACATACACCGGCCTGCTATTGTCCACCCTAAACCTCTTCCAGCATTGTAACATCTCCAAGGTAAGTGTAAGTATAAATATAAAAGGACCCCAATGGAAACAAGTCACTGACTTTTTTTGGATTAACTTAGGTACTTTACACATGTGCTGCTATGTATGATAATCTATGTACATAACTATTTGTGTATACCTGAATAAACTTGCGTACATTAAGTGTGAACAGTAGAGGTGGGTTCTGCTGGTGCCTCCACCATTGTACAGCTTTTCTCAGTGGCCCTTATAAACCCAACACTACCACTTACTCCTCGCATACATTGACATATTTTATTCATTCTAGAGTATGCATCATGTTTCTGTGTTAATATTGTTTGTCATAGTAGATGAATTGTGATAGATAAATAAGCCGTAGAGATATTATCATCATATTGAAGCACAATAAACTCGCCGTCCTCTTGCCTCGTACATGTCTTTCATACACCAATAAAGGCAAGTGTGATGTTAAATGTTCATTTATCCATTTTATTAGTGCTTTATATTCATGTCATTGTTTTCTGTATGTATATCTAAATTTAATCTTTAAAAAAAATATTTTTTAATACTTTTGGGTGTCTGAAATGGATTAATTGGATTTACATTATTTCTTATGGGGAAAATTAAATCAGATAACGATAACATCGGTTGAAGACAAGCTCTCTAGAACGGATTAATATCATTAACCAAGTGTCCACTGTACTCTCGTCTACAGGTCATCCTAGCATGCATTGCTTAAAATTTTACTCTACTGTCTTTACATTTTGGGGAAAAAACCTACCTACCTTTCAACTATGATTCTCATTTGGTCTTCTTGTTGATCTAGTAATTTCTGTGGAGCCATATTGAGAGACAACTGGTATTCTTCCTGACTTGTGTGCCGCCCATCCTTCATCCAGCTGCCCATACCAGCTCCTCCTGATGACCTGGTTGCAACACTCACATCGTCTTCGGAATCTTCATAACAGTGAGTCGTTCCTCGGGGGAAGTCCTCTCTGTCGCAAGATCTGTGAAGAGAGTCACATTTACAAGTTTCTCATACTGGAAGATATGACAAAAATAATTAACTTTAGAGTAACTATCATATGTAAATTAACTATGAACAAATTATTCAGTTTCCTATTAGAATTCTTTATGTAATTTATAATAAACAACTATATCTTACCATTCATAAGACCTTAAAATTTACTATGAATACCTCCTACCCCTTGGGATTTTTTTATACATCAATGGCAGTGACCCAAAACACAAAACATTTATTGTCAGAAATGCCCCTCAAGGAAGGTTCCTTGATGTTGGTGAGGGGCTCTTGATTTAGGGAATTGGATCTGTGCTCCAGTTCCTGAATTAAGCCTGAATGCCTTCCACATATCCTCCTCCAGGTGCTGTATAATCCTCCAGGTTTAGCGCTTCCCCCTTGATTATAATAATAATTTGTCAGAAATGTACTGCAACATCTCCATTTCTCCTTCAGAGTGCCAGTACTACCCTTTCTAAAATCTGGCTAACCAATTCCCCCAAATCCCTGTGTGATGCCTTGCTCACACCAACAGCAAAACATTGGAAGAAACACTAGTCCCTAGTCATCTTTTTTATATAATAATAATAATAAGCGCTAAGCCACAAGGGCTATACAGCACTGCAGGGTAGGAAAGGAAGCGAGGGTATTGGGCGGCAGAAGGGGGGAGGGATGATCAGTAGGTTACAGAAAACAGCGGGGCAGGGGATAGTGCAGGGTAGAGGGTAGCAAGAGATCGAGGTAGAAAGGGCTGAAGGTATCATCAGAGTTTGTGAAGTCAATGAAAGAGTCAGGATGAAAGGTGGGTCCATCATCGAAAAGGGAAGGTAAAGAGAGAGCAGCAGGGCGAAGACGACGTTGAAGGTAAATTCTGTGTGCTCATTGATAAAGTGGGCAGTCTAACAGAATGTGGCTGACCAATAATGGAACTTCACAATTCTCAGAGAGGAGCAGGGCACCTCTCCATGAGAAAGACGAGTATGGCCAATGCGGAGACGGGAGAGAGTAGTCTCCCAGCCTCGGCACTGGTGACAAGAAGACGGCCAGTAACCTATACTCGGTTTAATAGATTGAAGTTTGTTACCGAGTAGGGTAGACCAACGTTGTTGCCAACGGGTGTGAAGGTGGGTAGCTATTGCAGCAAAATAGTCCGTAAATGGACCACCTCTATATGAAACTGGTAGGTCATGTACTGCTGACCGCGCAGCAGTGTCTGCCTGTTCATTGCCCTGTACGTCAACATGACCAGGGACCCAACAAAAAACAATATCTTTATGCTTGGTAGAGATGCGGCATAGCCAAAGTTGGATACGGAGGACTAACGGGTGAGGTGTATCAAATTTCTGTATAGCCTGTAAAGCACTAAGGGAGTCTGAGACAACCACAAATGACACAGGCATAGATGCAATACGGATTAGTGCTGCAAGAATGGCATACAATTCAGCAGTAAAGATACTAGCCGAAGTTCGTAAATGCCCTTGTACGACGCTGTCCAGAAACACTGCTGTGAATCCTATGCCGTCAGAAGACTTAGAGCCATCTGTGTACACTGCAATGGCATGAGAGTGGAAGTGGTCAAGAAATAGAGAGCAGGAAGCTACCGTAGACAGTTGGGCTTTCGAGCAAGGGAGTGAGAAAGAACAGACTCGAACAGCTGGAACTTCCCAAGGGGGTAGGGAAAAGTGAGATGCTACATGAACATAGAAAGGTGGAAATTGAAGAGAAGACAAGAGAGAAGGGATGGAGCAAACAGGGGCGGCGAACAATAAAGAATGTCTACTAATATTGGTGACCATTCTATAAATGGAAGGGTTGCGGAGATCAAGAGAGCGTACATAGTAGCGAAGGCAATGGGCATCACGGCGATCGGATAAGGATGGAACGTTCGCTTCTGCATAGAGGCTCTCAACAGGGGAAGAGCGAAAAGCACCAAGGCATAAACGTAATCCTTGGTGATGAATAGGGTTGAGGCTAGATAGAGTAGTAGGAGAGGCAGCTGAATAGCTCTGGTCACCATAGTCAAGTTTCGATAAAATGAGGGTAGAATGTAGGCGAAGGAGAGCTCAACGGTCAGCTCCCCATGAAAGATGAGCAAGGGTTTTAAGAAGATTCAGCCGGCTGTGACAAGTTGTCTTCAGAGAGGTAATGTGAGGTTTCCAGGATAGCCTACGGTCAAAGAGGAGGCCTAGAAACCTGACTATCACGTTCAGGGATACGGGTGCCATAGAGGTATAAAGGATGATCGGAGATGACAGAGCGTCTAGTGAAAGTAATTTGGTGAGTTTTGGTACTGGAAAATTTAAACCCATCGTGTGGTGGCCCAATTGGAAACACGGTCGACCGCATGCTGGAGAGAAACTGTAATGAGGTGACAGTCAGCGCCTGCACAAGCAATAGTGAAGTCATCAACATAAGAGTGATGACCAAATATTGGGATGGAAGACTAGAGGCCAAATCTTTTATAGCAAGGAGAAAAAGTGTTGTGCTCAGAACACATCCCTGGGGGACAGCTTCAGCTTGGATAAAGTCCGGGGAGAGCACATTATTAACCTGAACACGGAAATGTCTGTCAGTTAAAAAGTTCTTAACCCTTTGACTGTCGCGGCCGTATATATACGTTTGTGAGGTACCGTGTTTGACGTATATATACTCATAAATTCTAGCGGCTTCAAATCAGGCAGGAGAAAGCTAGTAGGCCCACATGTGAGAGAATGGGTCTGTGTGGTCAGTGTGCACCACATAAAAAAAATCCTGGAGCACGCAGTGCATAACGAGAAAAAAAAAACTCCGACCGTTTTTTTTAATTAAAATGCCGACTTTGTGGTCTATTTTCGTATAGTATTTGTGGTTGTATTCTCGTTTCTGGTCTCATTGGGATAGAATGGAAACACATTAAGAAATGGAGGTGATTTGATTAATTTTACTATAAAAAGAACCTGGAAATGGAGCACAAAGTACGGGAAATGTTGATTTTTGCCGATGTTCAAAGTGAACAAATGATGTCATTGTCCAATAAAGTCCAAAATAGCCATTCTAATACGCAGTCATGAATGGGTTGATGTAATTTTTACAATATTCAGCGTTTGCAGTAGTCTGCATAACAGTAAATCTTTATTTTTTGTTGAATAAAATTTCAAAATAAAAGCAAGAGTAATCACAGGGACCTGGATACATGCTGATGAACAAAGAAAATGTTATTTTAGAGCCAGGAATGTCTGCATTGTTCATTCTGGACCTTATTTTGAAATTGTCGTATTTGTTTAATTTTCGTGAAATTGCAAAATTTTGCAATTTTGACCATGTATTGGGGGTAGTTGAAATCGGTAAATGGGCAGTTTCTGTACTCAATCGATAGAAAAATAGAGTTTGAAGAATAGTTATGAGTTTGGTTGACTGAATACGGAATTATCCGAAAATAGGGCTAAAAAGTGGGCGAATTGCGATTTTAAATACGCAGGGAAGTCGCTAACTTCGCGAGAGCGTAATTCCGTCAGTTTTCCATCAAATTTCGTTTTTTTGGTGTCTTTACAATCGGGAAAAGATTCTCTATCATTTCATAAGAAAAAATAATTTTTTTTTTTTCGAATATTTTGCGACACCAGAAGCAACTTCAGGATTTGGCCCTTCGACAGTCAAAGGGTTAAGGAAGGATGGTAGACTGCCTCGAAGGCCTAAGGAATGGGCTTGGGCCAAAATATTATACCTCCAAGTTGTGTCATATGCCTTCTCAAGGTCAAAAAATATGGCAATAACGGAGTGGTTATTAGCAAAGGCATTATGAACATACGTATCCAAGGGGTCTATGGTACAGTGACCCTTACGAAAGCCATATTGACGAGTGGAGAGACTGTTGTGTGTCTCTAAATACCACACTAAATGTCTATTTACCAGGTGTTCCATCACTTTGCAAACTGCACTGGTAAGAGCAATGGGATGATAGTGGGAGGCTTCATGTCCCGTAGTACCCGGTTTGCGGAAAGGGAGAACAATGGCAGATTTCCACAGCTGTGGAAGAACTCCTTGTGACCAAATAAGATTGAAAAGGCATAATAGGACTGCAAGGGCTGACTGATGTAAATGTTGTAGCATACGAATATGAATGTCGTCGGGCCCAGCTGCCAATGATCGGCAAGCTGAGAGTGTTGCCTCCAGTTCCTGAAGTGTAAAAGGCACATTATACTGTTCTTCTCTGAGAGAAGAAAAGTCCAAGGGTGCTAACTCTCTGGCAGACTTTGAGGAAAGAAACGAGGGGCATAGATGGAGCCCCCGATAAATACGGACCAGATGATTGCCAATTTCATTAGCAACATCTAGTGGGTTTGCTATATCAACACTGGCAATCCGCAGAACAGGAGCCGTGTCAGGAGAATATTTACCACTCGGTTTTCGTACTTTTTTCCAGACTGCACTCACAGAGGAAGCAGAGGTGATGGTGGAGACATAATCTCGCCAGCAAATGCGTTTAGCATCACGGATGACACGGCGAGCGATTGCACGCTTCTGCTTAAAATCAAGAAGTCTCTCTGTGGTTCTATTGTACCAGTACCTGCCCCACGCAGCACGTTTCAAACGTACTGCACGAGCACAAGCAGGAGACCACCAAGGCATGCATTTCTGAGAATGCCTGCCCAAAGTTTGGGGTATAGAATGAGAAGCTGCGGTTAAAACGGAGACGGAGAGTGTAAAAGTCATCAATGAAGGAGAGAAGGAACCTCACTAAAAACAGTTAGTTGTGAGTAAAGGTTCCAATTTGCCTGATCAAATTGACAGTGTGGGTTACGAAGAGGTGGTGAATATGAAAGGGAAGTAAGAATGATTGGGAAATGATCGCTGTCATGTAAATCCGGGAGAACAGACTAGGCGATGTCTAATGCGGCGGAGGAAGAGCAGACTGAGAGATCGATGCAAGAGAGAGTATGAGACCGAGGATCAAAATGGGTGTGAGTACCTGTATTTAAAACATGGAGGGGGTGGGTAGCAAGAAAAGCCTCTAACTGAATGCCACAGGAATCACAGTGAGACCCCCCAGAGAAAATGATGGGCATTAAAATCGCCAAGTAACAGAAGTGGTGGCAGTAATGACGAAACAAGAAAGGCAATATTCGGGATAGATAATGCCCGAGAAGGAGAGAGATACAAAGAACAGAGTGTATACCACCTATGCAAGTGGATACGGGCTGCTGTGTAATGCAGCAAAGTACGAACAAATAGCTGATGGTACGGAATATCAGTGCGTAGAAGAAGGGCACTTTCATTAAAGGTCCCATCAGGAAAAGGATCTGAAGAATACAATAAATTATAGCCTGAGATGGGATAGATAACAGCAGAGTGTAATTTTGGTTCCTGTAAGCAAACGCCAACGGGAAAACTGGGAGAGCAACATCTGAAGCTCACCCCAATTACCCCTGAGGCCGCGAATATTCCACTGTAAATAGGCCATGATTGGCAACAATAAAGATATCTGAAATCCGCAGGTAAGGGTACCTACGGACTAGAAGGGTTAGAAAAGTCCACGTGCGGTGGCAAAGGAAAACGTTCAAGTAGTGAAGGAACGGTGCGTTGTGAAGAAAGGAGTTTCGCAGATGGAGAAGAGGAAAGAGAAGGAACAGAGGGTGGATCAGTGTCCATTGATGGTTTGGCCTCTGCAATATATTCAGAGATTGCTTCAAGTGTTTCAGAGTTCAGAGATGTCGTATGGGAGACAATATTGGAGATGGAAGGAGGAGGAGTTTGAGTAAAGATCGGAGCTGTAATGGACTGTACCAAGGTAGGGGGGGGGGGGCAAAAGGGTGGAGGGAACTGGAGAAGTGTGGGAGGGGACAGAAGAGGAAGAAACTTGGGAGGGGACAGGGAAGGAAGGCACAGTATGAGAAGGAGGATGAACCTCCACACTTGTAACGGAGCCAGCGAAAGGGGAAGACCTAGGTACAGAGACCGGGAAGGGAAAATGTGGAGGTGGATGAAGGGAAGGAGGGGTTAAAGGAGATTTGTTGGACCTCTGAGAAGTAGAGGGACGATTGGGAGGAGGTGTCGTACGAGGTCTTGTCGATACCGGGGTTTGTGAGGGAGAACACAAAGCAGTGAGGACAGACCGAGGTGTTGAAGTAGGGACATCTGAGCCCAGGACAGCAAAAGAATTAGATACAGGAGTGACTATGGGACTGGCAACCGCAGAGGAGGCTGCAGAAGATGGGACCCCAGAAGTGGGGGGACGTTTTGAAACACGAGAATAAGAAACACGGGGTAGTCTCCCTTGGAGGCGGAGATGAGAAACTGCCATAGCATAAGGGAGACCTTCTGCCTCTTTGAGGCAACGAAGGGTGAGCCTCATGACAATTAAGGCAATGAGGGAGGTTGACTGCAAGATGTATTAGAATGGGCATTCGGCTATAGATCTGCAATATTTTGCTGGGTGGCCAAATCGCCAGCAATTCCTACACTGTTGCGGTGTAGGGATCGCCTTCCGAACTTGTAACCGATGTCCTGCTACATAAACAGAGGATGGGAGTTCACGGCTATCAAAAGTTAAACGAGCCACATTGCAAGGGTATCGTCTTCGCCCGCGGGCGGGAAGAACATAAGTGTCTACCTTGAGAATTGGGAGATCTTGGAGTTCCAGCTGTTTGAGAATGTCATTGCCACATGTCTGGAAATTCTGTTGGACTATGGTATGGGGCAGAATAACAGTACCACTACAAGAATTGAGGGAATGATGTTTTTCGATAGTGATAGTGATAGGAATAGTATCGATATGTGAAAGAAGAGGAAGATCATGGGCTTGGGTAGAATTCTGGACTGTGATGATGCGTGTACCACTCTTAAAAGCATGAAAGGAAATATCTCTACCAATGTAGCGTAGGAGCGCTTTGCCAATACTATGGTCAGAAAGATAGGCAGTAGAAGAAGTTGGTCGTAAAGTAAAGAATTTAGTCCATTGTGTGGTCCGAAACTGAGTGTGGAGAGGGAGTGCATGACGTGTCGGTCTTTTCCGAGTAGAATGGGAAGGTAACGAAGTAACATCGTCTGGAGATTGTCGGTGGCATTTAGGAGTGGGACCAGAGTTGGTCCGACGTGAGACGGGCTGGCGATTCGAAAATTGTCGCACCATAGAGGGAGAGGCCGGAAGCATAGTCAAAGGAGAGCGGAGGTCAGACAAATCGAAGGAGTCAGTGGAAGCCCCGGTACCTGAAGCGGGTGAGGAAACAGCACCAGCAAGAGATACAGGGGGTGTCCAAAGAGTGGCCAAAAGACGAGGCGAGGTCAGAACAGGGTGCGGTAACAATAAGGGGCCCAGGGTCGTGGATTTGGGACTCCATGGTTAGGTTACTTCTTTCTTTTTGTTTTTAAGAAAAAGAAAAGAAAAATAAAAAAAAGGGGGACCGGGGAATGATAGTTCCTAGGAGGAATGAAAGGGCCAGAAATCTCCCTCCGTGCCCAAGAGGACCTCAGCACCGCAGATGCAGCATAGAACCCGTGCCATACCCTACCCTTCATGCCAGTAAACCAGCAATCCGGGATAGCAACCTCACATCTGCCGAGCTACCTCGGTGGACAAAAGAGAGGGCGGCCAGATATCCGCCACAAAGCATACCGCCTTCGGCCACCACCCCCAGAATCTGAAAGGTGGCTTCCAGAGATACACCCATCGCCCGAAAGACACCCAAAGCCACCCTCCGGGATACCGGAGAGGGATCGGGACATTCCCAGGCGATCCAGATCCCACGACAAACTACGCCACCGCCAAGAACCTCAACGGAATGGGATGGACCCCGATACCCTTCCCCTACCTATGAACTAGTGTGCCTGTGGGAAAAATCCCAAAGGTCAAAACGAGGAAGGGCAAAAGGGAGGGGTGGGGGAGGAGGAGGCAGGAGGAAAGGAAAAAGGGGAGGATGGGATAGGGAAGGGGGGATTGGGGGGTAATTAGGTTCAGTCTGAGGAAGGAGACCGACAGGTCTAATTCCTCAGACCAAGATCCTCTTCACCGCGCCAAGGAGCCCCCCCTTGAAGTCCCTAATCTTAACATGTTCACATAGGCCCCTAAAATTCAAAACCTTAACTCCTTCCTTCCCACATTTATACACCCTCTTGATCCTAGTACTCTCCATCCTCTCTGAGGAATTATTGACCCCTCTAAATTATACCCTTCATGATTCCACAACACCTTTTAATTCTATGATCTGCATTCTCTGCATAATATTACCACCACCTAGTGCACTAAACATGACATCTCCACTGACTACAGCCTCCTCCTCATTGCTATATTTAAACCCCATGCCTCACACCCACATAAAAAATGTTGGAACCACTATATCCTCTTACATTAACTTTTTTTACCCCCATACATTACAATACTTCTGTCCACAGATGCCACAACACACCACCTAATTTTTTTTTTTTATAATCTATTCCATGGTTTGCCTTATTTTTCATTGCAGTCTTATGGGTGGACAAAATTTCACAAAAGTCTAACAAAACTTAAATCCAATTCCTTTATTAATAAAAGACCCTCAGTATCAAGGCATGACAACCCTTGAAAAAAAAGAGTTCAAAGTTGATAATCTATGCTATTGTGTATGACCTTTGCATAATGCTGATTTTGTGCACCCAAGCCAAAAAAAAAAAATTCCAAATAAACAATATTTTGGGGAAATTCAAAGTATGCCCCAATTTACAGTAGGCAGCCCATGATGACTTAGGGCTAGTTATACACAGTTCCTAATACATATATATCAGCATAAATATGTAAAATATTTTCATTTGCATGTCCCTAAGTTTATTTTAGATTGAAGCAGAAATTAAACATTAAAACTCACCTATTATTTCTTCCTCTTCTTCCACTAATGCTACGGTCATGGCGAGACCTGGCTCTAAGTTCCTGCCTTAATGTTGTATTTGGTGCCAAGCGTGGAGAACAGTGAGGATTGGTGCGAGGGGGATGAGCATGGGGACGGCGAGAATGGGCATGAGTGTGCGAAGCAGGGCGTGTATCAGGAGAAGAATCGGATGATGATGAAGCAGAGCGACGCTGGCGGGTGCGGCCCCGGCGAAGTGAGGAAAGATCCTCTACACTCTGCGAGGAACTGAGACTGCTGTTTGGACTCCCTATGCCATGACAAGTAGGAAGGGAAAATGAGTATCCAAAGACTAATATGATGGGATACATAATATACTATCTCCATTCAAAACAGAGTATCCATATCCCAATCAGTGATAATCTTCTAAAAGTAGTGCCTGATCTAAGGGTGCAGTTAATACTCCCAAATGCTTTTATACAAACATGGCAGTGTGTACCTTTGGGTGGAGAAACTCTAGGGATGTGTCTTGGAGTACCATGAAGTGACACATGACCTGCATGCCCCAAGTGTGCTGGGTGTACTGCCACAGCACGATGCTTGGAGGCAGCTGCATGATGCAGGGGTGAGGCTGTAGGAACACACACACACAAGCACATTAAGAAGCACATTCCTTATGGATCTAAAGAAAGCTGCTATTGAAAAGATTCTACCAAGATAAAGAAATGCAAACTTAGCAATAATTTTCCAGCAGATGATTTGCCACTACAGGAGGGCCCCACTTATATGGTGGGTTAGATTCCAGGCTACTGTTGTAAAGCGAATCGCCTTTTTTTTTTCACTTTTAAATGTAAATGCCTGATAATACATGTTAGTGTAAACAAGTTAGCAATAGAAATAGCCCTAAAAAAAATGTAAAATGCATGTACAGTACACTCATTACTTACCTTAAAATACTTTTGGCCTTAACATAGGGTGCAAGATGAGTAGTATTTATTGTAGGAAGTCAGAAGATAAAACCAGCTTCTGCTAGCTTCAAATTCATCTTCAGCAGCTTCCTCACCTCTCTCAACCTTCATAGAACTGAAGGGACTTAGGGCCTTTGATTGGATAATGGCTCACCTTAAATGCACATTGTGACTAGTTTGAACTTCAATCCACACCAGTAAAAGTTTTTCCATGTCAGCAATAAACTTGTCATATTTTCTTTAAAAGTGCTACACCAGTGAACACTATACATTTCTTGCCACACTTTCTCAGAGTTCATTGAAAGAAAGAGCCTTGTGACAGTAACTTTAAAACACTTGAAACTATGGAAAATTTCCAGATGGAACCAAGAGAGATGCAGAGCTTATGGCAACACCCAGTTTCACTTGTAGAAATAATTATTATAAAACACCATGGGGAAGGTGCTCTATAAATGTGCATATGGTGTCAGCGTTTTGGTGGGCAGTCAGATTTATACGTATTTGATACATGCGTACTGGCTGTCATTGATACGTGTTCATATCGCACTATGCATAGGTTTGTGAAGCGTTTTCCCCACAATACAAACACCTTACATTGTGTACAAATTATCTTAATGTTGGTGCAGTAGAATATATAACAGCAACACTCCCATTCTCATGCAACACACCCTTTTTAGAGTAAATGACATTGAGTGAAGCATATGAAAGCTCCTCTCTTCTATGTGCGGGTTATTTGTGTATCGTTCCAGTCACGGTATTGTGCCTTTTTTTGTTATATATGAAAAAAAAAAATTCTACAGTTAACCCCTTGCTCCCAGTAATACTACACAGTTTCTCTGGTGGTGTACTAGAGAAAACGTATTATAGTAATTATTGTCATACACTCCTGTACGCCTGCCACACCTCACAATTATGTTAATTCATTTTGCTACGATTGTATGTACTGTATTTTGTTTATATGATATGTAGCGTGTTTCTTATATAATTTTTAAAAAATGTCAGATGGATAAATGAAAATGTCTTTAACATAATATCTTCTTCTTTCAACAAACTGGTCGTATCCCACCAAGGCAGGGTAGCCCAAAAAGAAAAATGAAAGTTTCTCTTTTTAACTTTAGAAATGTATATAGAAGGGGTTACTAGCCCCTTGCTCCCATAGCATAATATATAACATGTAAAGCACTCCAGAGTAATTATTATTATTTTACTTATTGCATCAACACTAGTGAGACACTCTTAGCTACTCCCTCACCTGGCATAGCTACTCCTACTTTGTAACAATGCCAGATAGTGATTTTAATGTACCTACATGCCAGCACAGTAAGTTTATTTAGGTACAGGTACACATAAGTACAATTATCAGTAGTATCTCAGTACTATCTCAGCCACAGACATACCTTGCTCACTGGGTTTCTAACTTAGCACTTTACGTAAGAGTCTTACGACTCCTCTTTTTATCACAACTACCCTTAGATGTCATTGTACACAGAGTATAGTATGTAAAATTAACCAGCTTTAAAACAACTGAAATTTTGGAGAGTTTTCAGGCAATCAGGAGAGATGCGGAGCTCATGAAAGATGTAGACTGAGTGGATGGGTGGCGCACAGATGCTGTAATAGCAACTTAGGAGCCATATAAATGAATTTCTGGGTATAATTTGAAATGTCCATATTAGCAAATTGCCGTAAAGCGAAGCACCGTAAAGTGGGGCCCTACTGTATTAACCTAAAAGCATGCCCATAGTCTTTAAAGCCATGATTTATAAGTAATACAGCAGTAATGTAAGCCACTGAATAATAATAAAAATTTATGACAGCTACCAAAGCTTGCCTATTCAAGTTACCACTCACCTAATGGGGATCCATGCAGAATTTGTCGAAGCCCAGGCAATCCTGGGTTTCCATTTTCCCGTGACAGTAAACTGGAGTTATCAGTGTGTAAGAGAGAGTCAACTGGGGAAGATGATTGTGAGAATGCAATGCTTTGGTATCCTGAGGATGCAATATTTGAAAGTTGAGAGATTGATGTTTGTGATCCCTGAATATTATTTTCACTGTCCATGCATAGAGCATTTATTTGGTGTGAGCAGGAATCCATGTAGCTGTACAATTCTGAACACTCATCTTGGTATAAAGCACGCCTTTCAGCTGGTTGAGGAACTCCACTCAATGAATGGCTTCTTGAGGACATAGCTGTGGCTCTGTAAAATATTGAAAATTATGTTTTTATGTTTTTAAATAGGTGTACTGTGCTCAAAAATAGTTTATATCATTTGTCAACTATGATTAAAACAATTAGGCATGGAAAGAGAATGCAGTCATGCTCTTGGGAAAGGGGGGGGGGGAAGTGGCATCTAGATTTGTGAGAGAATTTCAATATACAGTAAATAAGGTTATCTATTATGGGTTCTCTATCAAGTTTTTATAAAAAAAATATTTAAAGTGCATAAGGGTGTACAAATACTAAATGCATTCATTAGAACTTGGATAAAATACTTATTTTAAAAGGGTTTTAAGAGGCTATGTTGTAGGTAGTTTTTATATACAAAGTTAAAAGTTGTGAGGTACTCTGTTCAAATGCAGTAGGATTACATTTCCATAATAAGTTGGATAAAAAAAAAAACTTAAAGAAGAGGTGTCAAACCCCTTAAACACTTTAGTACTGCTGTTAACTGTGTAACAAAAAATCCAGGCAATTACAGATTGAATATCAGACTGGATGAAGGGAATTATGGAGGAAATGGATGTAGTGAGTTATTTGTGAGTGGACATGTTAGCATGGTGTGTTTAAGCATCTGTGGGAAGAAAATTTTATCTATAGAGGCAAAATAAGGATTGTACCAGAGTATAGTGGTAACAACACTTATATGGGTTTTGAATGCTGCAGCAAGAAGATGGCTACAGGCAGTGGAGATGTCACTTCTGAGAGCAATGTGTGGCATGAATATCATGTAGAGAATTTAGAAGGTAGAAATTAAAGTGATGTGAGGCCACTAAGGATATAATTCAGAGGGGTTGTTTGGCATGCAGATAGGATGGAGAAGGGCAAAAGAGAGCATATAAATCTGGGGTAGAAAGGGCAGGGGTTATCTCAGGAAAGGTTGGACAGAGGGGAAGATAAGAGAAGCTTTGAGTTTTAAGGCTTTATTTCAAGGTTTTATTTTGACGAAAAAAGTTGCTGAAAGTTGAAATTCACGAAGCACGAGGCTCACGAAACTCAGGAGTTCACTGTGTGTGTTTTACACACTAATAAGGAGTGATTTCAGTGTGCAAATTTGGAGCCAATGCCTTTAGTACTTTCATTATCAAACAATTAAAATTGTACACTTGATAAACATTCTAATATACCTGGGATAGAGACGTGGTTGGTGAGAAGTATGTGGATGGCCACGCAAAGGTTGGTGCATAATTCCTGGGTGATTGGGTAATGGTGAACCACCCTGACGCAGCGGTGATCCAGGCGAGGCCACTTCAGCCATATAATATGTGTTTCCATTACTGAGTCGCACATCCGTCAAGGGTGTATTGTTATTGTTCGCTTCTCTGAAAATTATAATTATCAGGTGTGTGAATTTTATTTTCATTTTACTAAACAATGTAATATTTTTACACATTTCAACACTGTATGACCCTTGTGGGTTTAGTGCTTATTTATGATTAAAATATTAATTCGCATAACATATTTTTTACTATTTATCCTGGTACTAAATTTTATTATCTTATTCATACAAAAGCACTTTACCAGAATGAAATTTAAGAGAAACTAGGCATAATAAAGCTTCACAGAATCACTTAATAAAACTAATACAGTGGACCCCCGACTTATGATATTAATTCGTTCCAGAAGGCTGTTCGGGTGCCGTTACCGAACGAATTTGCTCCCATAAGGAATATTGTAAATTAGATTAGTCCGTTTCAGACCCCAAAAATACACTTACAAAAGCACTTACAAAAATACACTTGCATAATTGTTCGAGTTGGGAGCTGATCGTAAGTAGGGTCTCCACTGTACTTCAATATACAGTATCCACCTATTTTACAATGTAGTTTAAATATTAATGAAATACCTACAGGTGTCCCTTGCTTTATGCAATAGTTCTAGGTCCATGGCAACTATACTAGCCAGGGATGGGATGAAAACAATTTTTCCCAGTACTGATACTTAATTTTAGATTGATGCTGATAGTTTGGCACACCCTACTAAGCTCAGGATCAGTTATATGGCCAATGACAGCAGTGTCCACTAGAACACTGAATTTTGGCTTGACAATTAGAACCTGCTGATCCTGAACCACACTATTCACTCTACAGTCAATCCTGATGCTAGGCATCTTCTCCCTCCAATTTGTTTCTTCAATGTCCTTCCTAACATCAACAAAAGACTGAGGACACTCAACAGGGCCAGATACTCACTGCTTAGGTTAGTTTCTCATCCATCTGTTGAAGTTTTTTAGCAAAATTATTCGAAATATTACCAACAGTACCACTCGCTGCATCAACTACAGGAATAAAAACTATCTACAAATGATCCTTAAAAAGCTAGAATTCTTCCCCTCGTGAAGAACATCTGCTTCAAGCACACATTCACTGCACAACCAGCAAAAGCCCAAATTATGATGCCTATGCATAAAATTATAATAATTTAAATCAACTCTGGCATTGTGAAACCATTCACTAGAAAAAGCACACTTAATTGTCTTAGTGCTTTTTGTAACTTTAACCTCATATACAGGACACCCATCCTTTACTTTCATACTCATATTCGTGAAATCCTTAACCACAATGAAAACTTGAGAAAGTAAATAAACTGTCTGGGAAAAATCTCAGACAGCACTGCCCCTGTTTGTGGCACCTAAAGGTAGATAGATGTCTGTGGGGTTACCAAGAGCAGGTGGGGTACAAGTTGATTACTCTCTATATAAAGTGTATCCCAACATCAAAGTGTCTGCAATGAAAACTTTTCCCTCACTAATATTACAGATGATGCTGAGCACACATGAACCAAGGGAAACCTGTACTCAAAAAAAACTCTTACATGATTACAAAATAGCTATGAATAATTTAAGACATGTTCAAGAGGCTTCATTTAACAACAAAATTAAATCAGATGAAAACTGTACCTTGGAAACCAACAATGAAATACTTTATGAGAAAAAAAATAAAAAAAAGTTTTGTATTCACACAAACAATAAGCATTCTTAGTAACCTACATAGAGGGAAACATGTAATTCTGTGGTTCTGTGCGATGATCAATTGCTGTTATGAGAACATATTCATCATTGGTGGACAGGTCATTTGCTGCGGTCTTGTCTCGATAGAAGTTAAGCCCAGGGCTTCCAATGGCCTGTTAGAATATCAGTAACCATAAGGAAAAACATTAAGATTTTTTAACATATGGTTATTGTGAGAATTTTGGTGCATTTATTCAAAGAGAAATTAATTAACACTTGTATCCATGATGCACATACTATTTGGTGTTGGGAGTAGATTGGTGTTGCAGCTCGAGGTAGTGACTGTGACTTCAGAGTAGTAGTTGGTGGAGGACCCATACCAATATTCACACCTCCTCCCATCAACCCCATGCTCAATGGGCTCTCCACTACACCATCCACACAGTCTTCTCTCCTACAATCAAATACAAAATTTTATTGAATTGCTGGATATACCTTTCTTATTATTTTTACAACAGTTGATAAACTTTGCAATGCTGCTGAAATGGATTTTTTTTTAGCTTCTGCTTCCTGTTATTTGCCAATGATCTACAGTAATGTCTTTTAAAGGCATTAAATAAAACAAATAAAATAATTACTGTACAAAATAAACAGAAGGAGGTGCTCATTTTTTAACCTGTTTACATAACATAGATTGATCAGCAATAGCCATGAGCACACGTGTTTAACATGTTCATGAATATTTAAACAAGTGCATGCACTCTAAAGGAGGGGTCTGGGAGAGAGAATGCCTGCACACTGACAATGTTTTTTTCTTTTTGATACCCTACCTTGGTGGAAAAAAAGAAAATGTATTAAGAGTAATTACAAAAATGGGAAGCATAAGTAATAGGGAGGTTTATAACATTGCCAATTTTTTTTATTTTTAAGAGGTGGTCAAATTACTCGACCTTTTGTGGGGTAAGGAATCGTATAGAAAATGAGTTATAGCAAGATGTAGGGATATAGAATGAACATGAGAAGATAATGGATAATGTTCCCAAGGAGAATTTACATGAGTAAAATACAAAAGGAAGGAGGTAGCATAGTGAGAAAGTGAGAGCATGAAAAAAATGTACTGTAAACACAGAAAGACATCGAAAGTGCATAATCTTAATGAAATTGACTAGAATTTTTTTTTAAATAACAGTATCAGGAATACTGGTTATGGTCACCTCTCATCAGAAGCATACAGTGTAGAACATCAACATCAGAACTCTGATAAATAAAAATGAGAGAATTTGCAAAATATTTTCTTTTTTATATTTTGCTTTACATACATAGGCCATTGTTCAGGTATTCTCATAAGAAACAATGTACCACATATCTATAATGATAGCACTGTCCTGTAATTCTTTTATTTTTTTATAAAATAGCAACTAAAGCACAACGGATGAAAAGTGTTGGAACTGAGCTGTCCATTGGTCTGGAGTTAACGACAGCTACAGTAAGATATGAAGGTGCCATATATCCCTCATTCAGCTGGATATTAGTGAATCAGTTGTCTTTACAACCCACTAGTGAAAAGAACAATGTACAGTATTTTTTAAATTTCCAAAACACTGAGCATAACATGATCTTCAAAATATATCTTTTACATACCTACGTACACGTACATATCTACCATATCGGCTTGTGATGTTTTTATGAATAAAGACTTGTATGTGCATTTTTAAATACTTACATGTAATTATTTCTGATGTGCGTTGGCGTGGCTGTGAGTGATGGGTTAGACACAAGAGGTGGAGTACACACATGAGCATGTGTAGACAACTGTCGGGATACAAGAGGCGCTCCATTGTGGTCTCCACCTAAGAGAGTGCTGATGTCATCAACAAGAGCCAAAACTCTGCTAGCTTCACTCTCATAACCCTGGGGAATAAAAAAAAAAGTGTAACATTTCTGGAAAAGTTATATTCTACATGAATATATATTGTACTACTGTATAATACAAACCCATCAAAAATGTAATAAAAGAATTTGAAAAATACTGAAATGAAAAACCTGTCCTAACACCTATATAAATTTTGTTCATACTTTTTTAAACAAATTTTGCAATATAACTGTATATCATTTCAGTGTGGTTGTCATATGTTAACATTTAATAACAAAAATAAACTACTACATGAAAGTGATATACACTTTTGAAGTATGGACAGAAACTGAAGACCCATCAAGCCAACTGTAAAATATTCCCTGTTAAATTATCATGTGTATACCAGTATCACCATCCTTTTACCAGATTAAAATACCAACTTTGTTTAGGATGATGGGCTGCAATCATAGATGTGGTACAGTGCAAATTACCAATAGCAGTTTTTTAATAAAGCCAATCTTACAATAGTTGGGACTTCATAAAACTACTAACATCTGTACATCCTCTCAAGGATGATAATTTGATGTCAGTCATAGCTTTTAATCAAAAGAATTAGGCCTATCCTTCCCTTCTTTGGACCAAACCTGATTTCTTCCTAGTCTCCTGATACTGCATGACCCCTTTGGGTTTAGCATTTCTGCCAAATATAATAACAATATAATAATGTGTAAAAGTATTTATGCAAACCCATGTATTACACCTATATATGTACCTTTGGTGAGTTCCAAGAGTTTTTCTACTTTCGGAGACCGGCCATAATCGAGGCTCGTCTGGTGCTTGCCTAGGTCCAGGCATGTGGCTGGACCAAGAAAGCCTGGCTAAAACTCTTTTTTACTATACTGTGTGCTAAAGTACATACAACAAGTATGAACCAAACAAAATCCTTTACCTGTGTATTTATTTTTGCAAGGGCATCTGCAAGATGGAGATGAAGTAGAGCCAAATGCTTCCCCAGATCAATCTTCCCATCAAACTCAAGAATGATGTCCTCTTCAGTTGGAGAACTCTGAAAATTTATTTATACATACAGTATTATTCAGAATACTGCACTATAAATTTTTAACACTATCAATATAACATTATAACAATAAATATATATGAAATTTAAATCACTTGTACTGTTCATCAAGTGCCAGGGGCTTGAGCATCCAGGAATGAGTGGAGGTGAGGTTTTTGAGGCTTGATGTACTATTGGAATGTGAGCAAGGTAATATTTATGAAGGTATTCAGGGTAAACTGTTTAGTCACACTCGAGACCTGGAGATGGAAAGTACAGTACAGGTGGGAATGTTACAGTTGAAAGGGTGATTTGAATTGTGATGTCCCTGCACTTCTGGCAAGACAGCTATTGAATGAATGATGGTGAATATGTTAATTTTGTTTGGTTACACTACCTTGGTGGGAGAGGGAAAGTGTGAAAACAAGTCACTAAAACTCTCATGTTTTCTAGACAATAGACTCAACAAACAGAACTGCCCTAAAAATAAATCTTCAATGATTTATGCTTATGAAATATCAACTGATACAGCAAATTTTTGTAATTAACATAGCACCAAAACTAACTTAACCAAACTACTAAAATTAACACAATATACCACACCCATCTTGGCACAGCCTATAGTTAATTAACATTTTCTTAATATAAATGAAATACATTAATTTCATGATTTTCAGACTGAGTTGTGTAGAAATATTGCAAAGAAGAATTTGCACTTGACTGATTGGCAAAAGTCCCTCCTTTATAAGCTAAGATCACACTCACTCCTTACAAAAAGCATGACAATCATATACAAGAACAGTGAATGCCCTACATGTGAAAAATAAGAAGGATGTGATTTTCTAATTGTAAAATTAAAAATCTAATTCAACTTTACACTCACAGAGATGGATCTCAAGAAACTTCTGCATCGTTCCTGCTCCTTACTTATGAACTCATTCAGGAATTCCATAAAATTTTCCTTTCCCTGAAAAAGAGTGAAGTTGGCTAGTGTCTGTAGTGTTTTCGCTACCAGCGTCAGGTTCCTTCCAGCTCGCTCATCGGGATACTCTGGAAAAGAAATCGAAAAACTGTAAAACATCATTAGAAATTTGGGTATTGTCAGAGTTTAATACAGAAAATAATTGTATTATAACTTGTAAGATTAATTAGCTTAATTCCTTTCCAAGGTGGTGCCTTAATGCTGGTGAAAGATTACGGATTCCAGAAACTAGAGCTATCCATCACTTCCTCGTATCAAATCTTATTTTACCTCCCATTCTCATGGTGCTTTATAACCCCTACAGGTTTAGCATTTCTATATGATTTGTTTTTACCTCAACAGCTGTCTCCTACCGAGGTAGGGTGACTCAAAAAGGAAAACTCGCTCACCATCATTTATTCAATCTGTCTTGCCAGAAGTTTGCTGACATTAGAATTCAGATTCCTCTCCAACTGTAACAGCCCCACCCCTCCCTCCTTCTGAGTGCAGGTACTGCCCTTCCCACTTCCAAGACTGAAATACAGGTCTCCCTCAACATTCGCGAAGGTTAGGGGATCAAGGTCCTCTTGAATGTTGAAAAATCGCGAATGTTTGGTGCCCCAAAATATTGCAGGGAAATATAATACAATACTGCTTCCTTAACTTGTTGAACCATGAACAATCATAAAATACATGAAAATGTCGTAAATTGTACTAAATACATACATGTTATGGTTTAATAACATGTATGTTATTTGTACCTCTGTATGTTCAAATTATTAAATTTTTTTTTTTTTTTCAACAAGTCGGCCGTCTCCCACCGAGGCAGGGTGACCCAAAAAAGAAAGAAAATCCCCAAAAAGAAAATACTTTCATCATCATTCAACTCTTTCACCACACTCACACATTATCACTGTTTTTGCAGAGGTGCTCAGAATACAACAGTTTAGAAGCATACACATATAAAGATACACAACATAAATAAATAAATAAATAAATACCACTGCCTCCACCACTTCCTCAACCACTGCGAGTCCTACTACCCTCCCTCCGACCCCGCAACTGGCAGCCAGCCCTCCCACCACTCAGTGCGGTGAGTGTTTTGTTTGTTCATTATTTGCTATTAAACTACAGTATAAATAATGTAAACACATTCATGACTGTATATTGGAATGGCTATTTGGACAAGTATTGGACAGTGACATCATGTGTTTACTCTTGAACACAGCAAAGAATCAAACATTTCTGCTACTGCTAATAATAACAATAGTAATAATAATAATTTTTTTTTTTCAACAAGTCGGCCGTCTCCCACCGAGGCAGGGTGACCCAAAAAAGAAAGAAAATCCCAGAAAAGAAAATATTCATCATCATTCAACACTTTCACCACACTCACACATTATCACTGTTTTTGCAGATGTGCTCAGGGTACAACAGTTTAGAAGCATATACATAAAAAGATACACAACATATCCCTCCAAACTGCCAATATCCCAAACCCCTCCTTTAAAGTGCAGGCATTGTACTTCCCATTTCCAGGACTCAAGTCCGACTATATGAAAATAACCGGTTTCCCTGAATCCCTTCACTAAATATTACCCTGCTCACACTCCAACAGATCGTCAGGTCCCAAGTACCATTCGTCTCCATTCACTCCTATCTAACACGCTCACGCACACTTGCTGGAAGTCCAAGCCCCTCACCCACAAAACCTCCTTTACCCCCTCTCTCCAACCCTTTCGAGGACAACCCCTACCCCGCCTTCCTTCCCCTATAGATTTATATGCTTTCCATGTCATTCTACTTTGATCCATTCTCTCTAAATGACCAAACCACCTCAACAACCCCTCTTCTGCCCTCTGACTAATACTTTTATTAACTCCACACCTTTTCCTAATTTCCACACTCCGAATTTTCTGCATAATATTTACACCACACATTGCCCTTAAACAGGACATCTCCACTGCCTCCAACCGTCTCCTCGCTGCTGCATTTACCACCCAAGCTTCACACCCATATAAGAGTGTTGGTACTACTATACTTTCATACATTCCCTTCTTTACCTCCATAGATAACGTTTTTTGACTCCACATATACCTCAACGCACCACTCACCTTTTTTCCCTCATCAATTCTATGATTAATCTCATCCTTCATAAATACATCCGCCGACATAATAATAATAATAATAATAATAAATGCGATAGAATTGAAGAAGGAAATTGTACAAAAATACGAGGGAGTGGTTGACACATCATTAGTGTGGCTTTGTTTATGCTGGAGTGAGCATTAGTCTCCATGCTCTTCCAAACATTTCACAATAATTCACTGTGTTTGGTGCTTGTAGATTGAGTGCGACTGGAGTGGTAGAGGCAGTGGTTGAGGAAGCAGTTGAGGCAGTGGGTGAGGCAGTGGTTGAGGCAGCAGTACATGGAGAAGTACCCTGGCTGGTGTACCACCATCACTACCACCCTCCACCACCACCACCATTTTTGTATCTTTCTATCAAGTTTTTCTTGAATTCTATAGTGTTTCTCACCCTCTTTACCAAAGGGCTGGCACTAGAAGCTTTCTTTGGGCCCATGGTGGCTTATTTAGCAGCTACAAGCACTAAAAACAATGGAATACAAAATGTATCGCATGTACGTGTGGAATCGTCTTCACTGGCTTGTAAACGATGGCACACTGGCAGTACATGGAGTTGCCAAGCCGCTCACGGCGTGCAGACACGTTCGGAACGAATAACTTTAACCGAGTTCTTTGTCGTTAACTGAGCCAATATTTTGACACAAAGTGTCGTTATCCGATTTTTACGTTATCCGATGATGTCGTTAACTGAGGGTCCACTGTACATCTATGATATTTTCTTCAACATTATATAAGAAATACATTACATCGCATATAAACATGATACATACACCCACAGTACAATAAATTTCACATAAATATGAGGTGTGGTAGCTGGGCAGAGGGAAAACATTACGTTTTCTCTGGTCCAGCCCCAGAGAAAACATGCATGAATCTGCATTTTGCCCAGTCACTCCCCATAACACATTCTGCTTTGTTTACAATTCTCGGCATGAATTCTTCCCATTCCCTTCATTTATGATGGCATCTAAAGGTAGTTGTTAGAAACAATTAAACTCAGTGGACAAGGTATGTCGATGGTAATAATATGGCTATGGGCCACATTAAATATCGTATAGCTATATAGGTAGGTGTAGCTATGTAGCCCAGGCAGACTACGTAGCTACATCTACCGGCTACCTACAACTGACTTCCTACAAATAAATACTACTCGCCTCTCATCCTACATTAAGATTACACATATTTTAAAGTAAATAATGCGTGTACTGTATGTGTATTTTATCTCTCTGGACTGCTTTAAATACATGTACATTAAGTTTGGGATGGGGAGCCAGGGCTACCTACACCTGACTTCCTACAAATAAGTACTACTCACCTCTCGCCCTACATTAATACTACATATATTTTAAAGTAAGTAATGAATGTACTGTATGTATTTTACCTTTTATTGTGTTTTTGAATGCCTAGTTCTATTACTAACTTAATATAAGTTAGTGTAAACTTGTTATAAATGCATATAAATGCCAGACAAGTGGAAAAATGGTGTTCCACTTTAAGGCTGTAGCTTGGAACCTAACCAGCCACATACGTGGGGCTCTCCTGTACAGTAACTTCAGGCTAAAACGTTGTGTAGTTTTAAAAATAGGTTAGATAAATACAAGAGTGGGTGTGGGTGGGTGTGAGTTGGACCTGACTAGCTTGTGCTGCTGGGTCTGGTGCCGTGCTCCATCCTTGAGTGGAGGTGACCAGACTGGGTGGGTCATTGGGCTAATCCAGGGGGGGGAGGGGTCATTGGGCTAATCGGAGGGGGTTGGGGCCATGGACCTGCTCCGCATGGGTCAGTAGGCCTGTTGCAGTGTTCCTTCTTTCTATGTTCTTATGAAATATATGTATTTTAAATATTCACGCCACACATTGCTCTCAGATATGACATCCCCAGGAATAGAAGAATATAAAAAAATAATTTGTTTACCTTTAGAATATAAATATTATTAATGTTACTGCCAAAGGCTTCTTGTCACCCCAAGAGCACTAGCAGTAGCAGCCAACAGCAGTGGCGGCTCGGCAAATAATAGAATGGGGGGACTGCATGACTGCAAGCCTCATAGAACAGCATTGACAATAAATGTTATTGAAGTAATAATTTTTAAAATTAAACTAAATTTAATAATGATAAGCATTCACATATACATACCCATAGAGGTCATCACAGTCCTGCTGGTGGAGATATGGCTAGCTGAGGTGATGATGTTACAACTACTGTATTTGAAAATAAAATCCCAACATCGATTTTTTGATGTCGCAAAATGGTTTATAACTTTTTCACTAAAAGTTTTCATTTCTGTTATCATGTTTTCAATTGATATCATTGCTAGAGCAGTCAATCTTTCATTCGCCATTGTACTGCACAAAAAGGTTTTGATTATTTTCAAGGTTGAAAAACATCTTTCTGCTCCTGCTGTTTTCACTGTAATTAAAATTTTTTACAGCTTGACAGTTTCTGAAAATGTTGACTGCAGATGATTGTCATTTATCATCTCTAGCAACTCGATAAGATTTTCCGATTTGCACAAATCTTCTCTTGAATACAGTACAGATACAGTGGTACCTCGACTTTCGAGTTTAATTCGTTCCGTGACCGAGCTCATAACTCAATTTGCTTATATATCAAACCAATTTTCCTCATTGAAATTAAGTGAAATGCCATTAGTAATTCATTCCAGCCCCCAAAAAACCACCCCAATTTTTTTTTACAGGTTTTTTAATAATAAATATATATTTTCTTTCTTTCAACACACCGGCCATATCCCACTGAGGCGGGGTGGCCCAAAAAGAAAAACGAAAGTTTCTCTTTTTAAATTTAGTAATTTATACAGGAGAAGGGGTTACTAGCCCCTTGTTCCCGGCATTTTAGTCGCCTCTTACATCACGCATGGCTTACGGAGGAAGAATTCTGTTCCACTTCCCCATGGAGATAAGAGGAAATAAACAAGAACAAGAACTAGAAAGAAAATAGAAGAAAACCCAGAGGGGTGTGTATAAATATGCTTGTACATGTATGTGTAGTGTGACCTAAGTGTAAGTAGAAGTAGCAAGACATACCTGAAATCTTGCATGTTGATGAGACAGAAAAAAGACACCAGCACTCCTATCATCATGTAAAACAATTACAGGTTTCCGTTTTACGCTCACTTGGCAGAACGGTAGTACCTCCCTGGGCGGATGCTGTCTACCAACCTACTACCTACAAAGATATTGTCATAGTTAGAAAATAACAGGGAATGAGCCTAAAAGTTATAAAAAGATAAGGCAGGCTGCCATATACAGTATCTTCTCTGTAGCTAACCTTTTGTTAGGTTGAAGAGTGACGGAGAGAGGACAGCAGGACAAAGGAACCGGAGGAACACACATGAAGAGATGAGGTTATCGATCAGTTCGCATTTCTCCTGGCGAGAGAGTTGCTCTCGCAGTGTGTGGAACACATTGCGCAGTTCCCTACATTAATCAAGGAAGAGATCAAGTTACATATGTTATCCATTGGTATATGTAAATTAGCATTTATATTCATATTAAATAATTCTATAAAATAAAACAGTACTTTAAATTTAGTTATTTTATAGAACATATGCAAACTTATTTTAATGACAAATTACTCTTAAGATAAAGGGGTATGGGTATATAATAACACTAGGATATTAATTAGCTCCCTTCTTGTGTTTTAAACAGGTGTACTCTATACCAGTAATGTTATGAAAGAAACCAACTGAGTCACCAACAGGCTTCTCCCCAGGCCTTAGAAAAGGATGTTTTATGAACATAACCCTATTTTTCCTATATGTTTTTCACTCCATAAATCGTGAAAACCATTGGTACTGCAGATTTCAGGAACATAACTCGCACGTGAGTTATGTTCCTGTTGCTTTGCAATATAGGACTGCAAAGCAGTACGCTGAATTGAACATCAAAAGGACTAATAGTGATAAGAGTAAATGAAAAAATCAACTCACACAGGGAAATTCCGACCAGACTGAAGAATCTTCTCCCATATAACAGACACACATTCCTTCAGAGCATTCCGTTGAGACTGAAGAGACTGGATGTTAGTAATCCGGAGAGGATCAACCTCAAGGTCCTCTGCTGCTGTAATAATTGCCTGAACTGGTTCTCTTAAGGTTCCATGAAGATACTGCTCACCAACTAATTTCATATACGCTTCAATTGCCTTTGTGGCTACACTGTTCCCACGAAAGAGGAGATGCTCATTCTCAGCTGCAAATGACAAATAATTAAGAATATTACAAAAATAATGACAAGAACAGCATAGTACGACATGTTGAATTTATAACCACTGCCTGTATTTTTAAATATGCCTGTCTACACATGTACATTTGCTTAAATTTATTTAAAAAAAATTATTAATTACGAGCACTTTTAGTTATTTGAGAACACAGCTATGAACTCACCCATCCGCTGAATATCCGTAAAAACAAGGTTGACGAGGAAGGGGATAGCACATTCTTCTGCTTGCATGATATTAATGAGAGTTGTTGCGATATCCTCCTTTGCTTTGACAGATACAACAGGCTCAAGGAGTTGGCAAAGGGACGTTGAATTTTCTTTGAGGTACTGACGGAAGGAGCCATACTGAGGTAGAGGCAAGATGTCTACAGACTGAAATCTATTGGAGAACACTATGTAAATATGAATAATATAAAATATATAATTATTTTAAAGTCTAGATATAACTTTATAACTTAGGGATAATTACAGTACTCCAATTATGCAGCTAGTATACTTGTATCAGGCAGGAGGGTAAATACTGTAAATCACTTTTACAGTACTAACAAAATAAACAGTACTAGCATATCAGTATGTGGTTGAAAAATATAAATACTCTACAATAAAAACCACTCATTAAAAGACCACTCATTAACAGATTTTTATATTAAAAATAAAAACTGGTCAAGACACACTTTGTATTTATTGGTCAAAATAGACAAAAGTCCATAATGCCATATTTTGTCTGCAGCAATAGCGTCCAGTCGTTTTTTCAATATTGGACCAAGTCTGCTAACTCCAACATTTGTCTGGTATGGATCACAGTGGCTACATCCACAACCCGACTGCTTTCACTGTTTCCTGAGCCATAGGCTACCTGCACCAGTTCACTGTTATGTTCACTCATGCATACAACTGTCATTCAGTTTCTAATTTTCCCTGGATTTAGAGCATTTTATATGACTTTATTAACAAAGTAATGTGCAACTGACAATGGCTTCTAAAGCAAATGGTGATGCCACAAGAAAACATGTAGTTATCAGTGTTAAGGAGAAACTGGAATTAATAATGAAGGTCGAGTTTGGTGTCTCAGCAGCATGGGTATGTGAGGAGTATGGAGTTAACAGTGTTTGACAGCCATAGAAGGAAGGAGAAACTTACAGTCCATGCTCTTAAGTTTAGTGTAGATGCTAGCCAAAAAAGGTTCTACAGTTGGTCCTAGGAAGCATATGAAAATGGCCCATGATCACTGCAGCTTACGTCTCATCTCTCCGCCACAAAAAGGTGAGTAAAATTAGTGGACGATCATGAAATATTAATTTCATAATTCAAGAGTCGAGGATAATTGGTAATATCATACACCCTCCCTCTCTCCCCAATTAATCTGTAATGAGAGGTTTAGCTGTACAGCAATGAAATTTATAGTAGAAGGAAACATACGAACCCTAACAAAACAAGAAAGTAATAAAAAATAGATAACAGTACAGACTACAGAATTAGCAACATAATTTTGGAAATATATTAATCAAGCTTTCCAAAAGCTTTTGACACAACTGATCACGATTAAATTTCTCAAAACAGTATAAATATTATTACATGTATGGGGAAAGTGCTGAACCTGTAGGGGTCATACACTGTCTGCTGACTGATAGACCATCAGGTTTGATCCAAGGAAGGGAAAAGCAGGTTTAAATGCATGCATCAAGAGCCTTTCACAAGCATCTAGGAACTCCCCTTGAGGGGTAAAAAAAACCCAGTAATATTGTACATTAAGAAGGAATAAAGAGGAACAATACTATGACTGGAATGATACACAAATAACCTTACACTGAAATTTAGGATAATGTTTCAGTCTGACATGGACCACTAAGTAGCTAATGATTGAAGTCGGACTGAAATATCATATACGTATTTCAGTTTCCCAAGTGCAGGTTAGTTGTGCATTGTACATTCTTAGGCTTACTAACCTATGCTTAATTCTTAGGGCAGGTACTTCTCTGTCTGGTTTATCAACCTTTACTGGATACCACTGCTCCTCCAAGGCTACCTGACCTGGACTGGATGGCTTTAAATCAATTTCTACTGTCCCTATCTTCTTACGAACTGACTTCTTGTCAGCTTCTCTCATAAGCTCAATGCAGATGCTCGAGACCTAGAATAATTAAATAAAGGGGGTTGAGGATCAGTATAGTGTGCAATCATATAGTTTCAAATATAGCATATAAATCATAGCATTTACAGGATTAATTGAGAGTACATATATTTACAAGATAATAAAAAATCTAAAACTCACCTGTGGGAGATCTAGCTCAAAGTACTCCCCCCAAAAACACATGTTCGACTTCTGTTTAGAACACGTACATCCATAGGGTGCAGAGTTCAGCTTGAGTATGCAGTAGTATCTGTTGGATACAGTGAGGTATTATAACAAAGAATGTATGAAATGTTTACAGTGATACTGTGCAAACCTCTGCAACATTAAAAAGTTGAAAAACCATTGCAAAATATTGGTTTCTGAAACAGGCATAATTCTTCCCAGTCATACTTAGTGCTGACTGTTTTCACTGATCGAAAGTTATAAATGTGAACATGGCAATGCATGGCTAATACAAGTCTATTCAAACAACGTTTTTATAAATATTCCATTATTATTCAGAAATGGGGAAGAACATGTTTCGTAATTCTGTAGGTAGACTGATATATATAATGTATACAGGGAGTTGTCCATGTTTAGGATTTTAAAACTAATAATTTTAAACACAGTACCTTACACAAATTTTCAGAGACTGTCAGAAGGATTACATATTAACATAAATTTTTAGATAAAACTAATGCATCAAAAGATACTATACTACAAAACTACAGTGGACCCCCGCATAACGATTACCTCCGAATGCGACCAATTATGTAAGTGTATTTATGTAAGTGCATTTGTACGTGTATGTTTGGGGGTCTGAAATGGACTAATCTACTTCACAATATTTCTTATGGGAACAAATTCAGTCAGTACTGGCACCTAAAGGGAGCGCTCAGGTTCACGCGCGCGGAGCAAAAAACAATTCGAAAAAATATGAAAATGGAGTTTACCAAAAAATAGCTGAACTTTCTGGCTACACTCTGGTATAATTATTATCCTTGTACGATGTTTCTAAAAGGAATTACAGCCATTTATAACAGGCATGGTGACAGCGCTGACGCATCATATTGCGTAAGAAGCGCTGACGCGGCTTTGTTTACGTTTTTCCCCCTTGTTATTTTTATCGTTTTCTTATATCTTTATGTCTAATAAAATACAAATTCACTGTCTGAGATCATGCCCGAACGGGCGGAGCTAATATGGTCAAGTAACCAGTCAGGTACCATGGGTATAGTATCCAAAATGGCCGACACCTCCAGCCAACAAAATATTCCATAAATATTCCATACCCACGCTAATATCAATTATAAGGCTTATTTATCTATCACAATTGATCTATTATGACATAATGCAATATAATAATAGCATATAAACATAAAAAGCACACCGTAAAAAATAATATATAGCATAATATGATGCCCAAGAGGGAAAAATTTCTATCGGTGTATCCCCTGAAGTTTCGTTATCTCTTACAAGTGATGAGAGAAAACGGATTTACAATGGTTAACTGTAATAAACACTCGTAGGTCACACAAAAAGTGTAAAATAAAGCGAATTTTTCGGGGAAAAAAATTATTTCCCGGGCAGCTGGGGTGCCGCGCGCTTCGGCCTATATCTCGAAAGTAACTTATTTACCTATTTAGGGGCAATCCATCTTTATTTATGATTGAATTGACTTGATTTTCACAACAAACATAGGAGAATGATTGCTTTACAAGGTGGAGTGTGCCTTTCTGAACTATCCCAAATATTTTTAGATTTATGTGGGCAACAAGACCGACATCTTCCAATATGTCAAAAAAGTTATGAAACTTATTTTTTTTAGCATGAAGATAAGGTTTATTTTAGAATAGGTACACTTACAGTGATGGAATTAGAGGTGTTCTATCAGCAGCAAGTGTCAAAACCACTTTTCCAAGTACCACTGAGAAGGACTCCCCTGCCAAATGCAATTTTTCGTAAATTTTGCATATTTCATTTCCTTTTTGGCCGATATGATTGAAACTTCAGCACAGGATATTTGATATAAGCTTCTAATAGTACACCAAAAATGAACGTAATCGGTTGAAAAATAAAGAAGTCGATGTGTTACACCTAGCGCTCCCTGAACATACTTCTGGAGTGAAAAAATATCGTTAACCGGGGGTCCACTGTATTCCATGAAACAATGAGAAACATTTTAGGGGAATAACAATCAATTTTGTTAAATCTATCTGCTTCACTGGCACTAATGGTCTTGGGGGTAGGAGAGTGAGGGTAAGAAACTTCACCTTAACCCTTTCAGGGTTGGTGCCATACTAGTACGGCTTGCACGCCAGGGTTGGTGCTGTACTAGTAAGCATAAATTCTAGCGCTTTCAAATCTAGCGAGAGAATGCTGGTAGGCCTACATATGAAAGAATGGGTCTATGTGGTCAGTATAAAAAAAAAATCCTGCAGCACACAGTGCATAATGAGAAAAAAAAACTCCGACCGTGTTTTTGGTTTAAAATAGCAACTTTGCAGTGTATTTTCGTATGCTATTTATGGTTGTATTCTAGTTTTCCTGGTCTTATTTTATAGAATGGAAGACATATTATGGAAACTGAGATGATTTTGATTGGTTTCACAATGAAAAGTACTTTGAAATTGAGTTCAAAGTAGCAGAAATGTTTGATTTTTGCCAAAGTTCAAAGATAAACAAATCATGCCACGCGTCCAGTACACGACAACTGGTGAGTCTAATATTCTTTCACAAGTGTGCTGATGTTATTTATACCATTTCTACACGAATGCAGTAGTCTGCATAACATAAATCTTCTGTTTTTTGTGAGAATAAAAATTCAAAGTGGAAAGCAAAAGAAATGTAGCAGAGGCCTGGGGACGTGAGTAATGAACAGAAGAAATGTTATTTTAGTTCCAGGAATGTCTGTCTTGTTTATTCTGGACCCTATTTGGAAATTGGCATTTTTTTGAAATTTGCGTAAAATTTCCAAATTGCCAATTTCTGACCCCGTTATTAGTTAGTTGAAATCAATAAATGGGTGGTTTCTTGTACTCATTCAATAGACAAAATGGAGTTCTAGCGAAATAGGTATGATTTTTGTCGACTGATACTTGGAATTGCCCGATAATGGGGCCCCAAAGTGGGCGAAACGCCAATGCGTAAACATCGTCGAGACAGCTAACTTTGCGAGAGTGTAATTCCGTAATTTTCCATCAAATTTCATATTTTTGGTGTCATTATGATCAGGAAAAGATTCTCTATCATTTCATAAAAAAAAAATAATTTTTTTTTTCTCGAAAAATTTCCGACCGAGAGCAAGTTTTGGAAAGGGCCACACTGGCCACCCCAAAGTGCTGGGTGAGGGTCTGGTATGGCCACCCCGGCCACCCCAGAGGTGATGGACTGAGAGTCATCTGGGTTCTCATCAATTTTTTCACTAATTTCCCTTTGATTAGTGGCCATATCATGTCAAAATCCATAAACTCGCATTCAATTTCACTCTCCGAAAATAGTAGAGTGTTAATAGATGAGGTGTGAGTGAATCGTGGGGTTTGCCATGATGTTGACCCAAGATGGAGCTGAAAATAACGGGTTTCCTACCATGTGGTACCCCAGCATCACCGATTTTTTTCATACTGCACACACTGAAAGGGTAAAAAAGAACTTCCATTTCAACTACGATTTTTTAAATTGCATTTTAATACATGGTAATGCAGTGTTTACATAAACCAAAAGTAATTTATAGAATTTTGTTTTACAAAAATTCCACTTTACTAGTTGAAAAAATTTAGTACTGTTCTGTTTTTATTTCAATGGAAGCAGCAGTTGCCTTGCTGCTTCCACTGAGGGTGCTGTATATGCAGGAAGGCCCTGCATATACAGCACCCTTTTCAATGTTCCACACTTTAATTGGCTTTCAACTGAGCCACTGTTCATTATGTTCGGTGCTTTTACCACTTTTTCGCAGTTTTCATACAACAGTTACTAAGGGAAGGGTGACTGGCACCATATTTTAAGGTAAGTATTGTATGTACTGTGTATTTATTTTATTTTGTATGTTTTTTATGCCTAGCTGTATTGACCACTTAATATATGATAGTGTAAACATGTTATCAGGAATTTAAATTTTAATTTAATTTTAGACACATTCAATAATGAAAAAAAAAAAATTTCCACCCACCAGTGATTTTCTCTTACAGTACAGGATCAGGAACCTGAGAGCTGTACACGAGGGACCCTCCTGTACCTGATGTCAGTGTACATCCATCTATCTGACAAATATTTTGCAGTGCCTGTACACTTCATGCTTGAAAAAAATCCTCATTGCCCTATTTAAGTCTCCAAGCTAAGAATAATAGGCTTCATTACAGGTTATAATTTCATTACAGGTTATAATTTCAGGTAGTAGGTTGGTAGACAGCAACCACCCAGGGAAGTACTACCGTCCTGCCAGATGACTGTGAAACAAAAACCTGTAATTGTTTTGCATGATGGGAGGATTGCTGGTTTTTTTTTCTGTTCATAAACACGCTAAGTAACAGGGATATCTTGTACTCTTTACACTTTGGTCACACTTCACAGAAGCCATCAAAAATTATATACATACATTAGGTTTTTCTCCTTTTCAAAAATGTTTGTTCTTTTTTTTTCTTCTATTGTCCAGGGGGAAGGGGGAAAAAAATTTTTCCTCCGAAAAGCCATGCGTGTCGTATGAGGGACTAAAATCCCCGGGGGGGGAATGGGTAGAAACCCCCTTCCCCTTATACAATTAAAAAAAAGAGAAGAAAAAAAAACTTAAAAAACTGGGTTTTTTTAAAAGTGGTGGATGTAGTGCGGTGCAAAAAACAGTGATTGTGATTTATGAATGAAAAAATTGGGATGTCCTGGCCCCTAAAGCGAAAAAAAGTAAAGGGGGGTGGGAGATTTTTCAGGGGGAAAAAAAGGGGATTAAATCTGGAGTATTGGAGAGTTAGAGCAAAGGAAAGGGGGGTCCCCAGTAATGTTTAAATGTCGTTATGGAAGGAAAAAGAAAATATGAATGTGAAAATTCAAGAATTATGGGGGTTAAAAGTAAAGGTTGGGAGTGGAAGGGGTCATAAATAAGCGTTATCACTGGAAAGAGGGGAATGCAGGGAGAGAGGGTTTTTGGGAGGTTAAGTAATTATGGGAGCCTTTAAACCCAAAGTAGAGAGAAATTTGTGGTAGGGGACTTGAATCTAAAGTAGGAGAAACTTTTAGAGAGGTGGGGTAGGTAAGTTTGGGGTGCGGGTGAAAATTAAAATGGGACCCTTTGATTAAAACTTTGTATAGAAAGGG